GTAAATTTTAGGATTATTACAACTCAGTTTTTTACTCTTCACAATTATTTTTTTTTTTGAAATTTTAGGATTATTACAACTCAGTTTTTTACTCTTCACAATATTTTTTTTTTACAAAATAACAGAATTGCTTTGTTCCATTTTTCAATAATCAAAATAATTAAAATTATTTATTTTTGAATAACTGAATTAATTATATTTTTGGTATTTTAATAACGAAAAATATTAAATTTTCAGATCTTTAACAACCGGATCCTAAGTTTTCAATTATTTAAGAGAAACCAAATTTATATCTTTCGAAAAGTTACACTCGAATTAGCCACCGATCATCTCGTTCTGTAAATCGTGGTCCGTGGGATCCGACACTTAGGTGGTTTGGCATAGAAAATGGCATAATTTAGGCAAAAAGAATGATATATGTGTTGGTTGAGTGTGGTCGTCAAAGGCCTTATGAGTGCTTGTAAAATACATGATATAGTGAACATGAACTCTGTGGGAGTGTGGTCCCTCGTGGACCATATTAAGCAAACGATGCTTGTTGATACTGAACTGTCCTTGATGATCTAGGCCAGTTGATTGGGAAAAACCTATGTTACATGTGAATAGAAAATTAATCAATAAGGATTTTAATGGGTCATCCCTTTATGAGGTCGGAGTATGCCCGGATGAGTAAGCCGAGGGACTGTGTGACCCTTATGTGTGATAGTGGCTTCAGAGACGGGGCCAAATCATCATCCATGTATCATTACATGGCTTGCACAATGATAAACTGTTTCGAGAAAGCGAATCACCTTTTAGGGTGAAGCTTATGCATGTGCGAGAGAAACCCCTCTGTGCAATAGGAACTGTGGTCGCATCAGGTCTAGGTGACATTAACACGTCTCTAAGGGAGAACTTGAAATCTACAGACTAAGATTACGACCTCTTGGCTCATCAGCTAGACTTTGATGACCCACTAATAAGCTTTTGTTTGGAGTGTGGGTCATGAGAAACATTAGGTCGGTTTGATAAAGCAAGTGTGGTATGTAGTTTACAGTTGAAGGTGGAGTGCTCCATGATTGTTGATTTAATTCTTAGACCATATAGATCATTTCTTCATCTAATGAATTTAATTATGTTTTTTTTATAGCATATATTATTTTAGTATTATATGAATTTTTATAAATCTTTAGATATTTTATTTATCAATTTTGGATTTATAAAAACAAAGATATTGATTTTACATTATAAAAAAAAATATATTGATTTTACATTGATTTAAATATTCAAATAAATTCTAAAAATTCTTTTATTAAATTTGAAAATATTTAAAATTACATAGGGGCCCATTATGCACATGGACCCACCATGGCCTCGATGGTGGGGCCCATGAGACCCTCTCACGGTGGCACGCCCCACCCATTTAGGGAGCTTTCCTTTTATGAAGTAGAGACCTTGACTTGTAGTCAAAGTATTATGTGTTTTGAAAAAGAATTGATTTGAGGAAGTTTTGAATAGATTTTTGGAAAGCATAAGAAGCCGAATGCTATTTTATGGTATGTACCATATTTTCATTTGAATTAATTTTATTTAATTTCGATTGATGGGAAAATGTTTTAGGAAAGGAGGATAAGGGTTAATGCACATTTCATAATGTTGATAGCCCATCTATGGAATGGAGGGCTCAAATCTCTCACCCCACAAATTACCCAAAATCGATGGTTCATATTCAAGCAAACAAAAAAAAAACCTTAAAAAACTCTAATCTTATTCAAGCCTATAAAAAAATGGATTGTTTCTACCCAAAATCTTTATATTTTATCTTTCTATCTCACTTTTAAGAAATTTTCTCTCTCATGTTTGATCTCTCTCTTCGACATTGTAAAAAGGGGCTAAGGGTTTACGCTATAGAGTTATTCTCTCTCCCATCTCTCAACAATGGATTTATAGGTAGCCAAAAGAGAATCCATCTCTCTTAAACTAAGTTGCTAAATGAATTCACTTAGGGTTTGAGCTTGTGATCAAATGGGTTCATGTTCCATTAGTATGACTTGTCCTAAACTTGTTTTTCCGGTTGAGATAGAAGGTTGATCATTAATCCCACGCCATCGGATGATGGTGACTCGATGTGGGGTGTAATATGCCCGATTGAGGTAATTTTGGACACTCTTTTTTTGTTGCTTACCATATTTAATTATATTATTTTTATATTCCGAATCATAAGAATTGTGGATATTTTTTTTGTTTAAAGAAATTAATTTAATGGCATCACATTTGTTAGTTTTATTTGCTGTGAAGCAAAAATTATTGTAAGAAGACTATTTGTTGTGATCTTTGCCAAAAGAAAAAAAAAAGAAAAAAAAAAGAGTAAAAAAATAAAAAATAAAAATATATAATCCTCAACAAAATCCCATTGATCTTTCTTTCATGATCTCGTCCCAAACTCAAATGGTCTTTCCTTATTTGATGCTCATCTCCTCTTCCCAACGGTGTACTTCGAATATAAAGCTACTTCGAATATAAAGCTAGGGCATAAGAAAACTTCTCAATGGTGTACTTCGAATATAAAGCTAGAGCACAAGAAAAAAGGTAGAAATTTGAAAAAGCTGAAGGGGTTGTTTGCTTTCCTGTTATAACGAGAAAAAAGGACTAAATGAATACCTTTCCTTTTCATGGAATTAAATAACTTAAAACTTTGAATTCAGATTTTCAAAAATCATATTTTTTATTATTGAAATAGCAAAAATATAATTAACTTGGTTTTTCAAAAACTGATAATTTTGAATATTTTGGTAATTAAAAAACCGAAAAGGCCAATTCCATGATTTTTTATAAAAAAAATAATATAAAGGAGAAAAACCACTATAGATATAATAACAATAACATAAACTTTACAATCTTTTCATAAAGAAAAAAATTCCACGAGAGCATTTATGATGCACTTAAATTATAAAATTTCAAATAAGATGGTTGTAAGTAATTTTGACCGCATTGTAGCGTAATTAAATGGCCTCGTTATGTACGGCTGCTTTTCATAATAACACTGAAAATAAATAACAGATAGATACTTAATTTTTCCTAAAGCTTATTTCCATTCTGAGACAATTATTTTATACCTGGTAAATATACTGATTTCATGCTCTCGTGTAAATTTGACGCCTAAAATCGTATTGCAGAAGGCAAAGACCGCTGAACTTCGACGCAATAGGCATGAGAGAGAGGCCCTGGCATCCATGACAATCTCCGTCGACAGTTTATTTATTGCGGGCTTGCGACTGACCTGAGCATTCGAAGAGAGAGAAAGAGGGATATTTAGAGAGAGAGTGTGTGTTTAGAGAGAGAAAGAGATGGGAGTGGGAGGATATGGCCCTGTTCTTTCTCAACTGGTTTATACCTCGTCTCTTGGGGTTATGTATGTCCTCATCAAGGCTGCCTTTGAGCATGGCATGAATCACTACGTTTTTGTAACTTACAGGCAGGCTTCGGCCACTCTCGCCATTGCTCCTATTGCTTTTTTCTTCGACAGGTAACAACTCCATCTCTCTCTCAACAGGTTACTGTATTATAAAGAAATCTCTGTTTGTATATAGAGTATGAGGCAGATAGTATAAATTATCGAAGTGCCACATATACGGATACAAAAATTTCTTCAAAAGTGGTATCTTTTGTGGCTTTGATTCTGCGTTGAGAGACCTATTTCTTCATAATAGAAGATATCAATCCTCAACACTCTCTCTCTTTCTCTCACACTCTCTCTCTATTTCTCTGTAGAGAGCTTCCAAACTCATGTATTCATCAAAACTCACTCTCTTGCTTTTCACATAGATGCCAAATCCACGTTCTCTGTCTCTAAACTCTTCAAGGTTGCCTTTTTATTTTGTTCCTTCTAATGCACGGTAAATTTAATGGAATTTTACAGGAAAAGAATGCCTCCCCTTGACTTCAAGATTTTGTTTCATATTTTCATGATGGCGCTCTTGGGGTAGGGATCCGTTTCCTGCAGTTGCGCGAAGATTTATTTCATCACACTTATGTAATGAACATTACGTCATGGTCATATTTGGTGAACTTGCAGGATCACACTAGAACAGGTTCTCTACTTTTGGGGCTTCGATAACACCACTTCAACTTATGCTGCGACCATATCAAACCTCATCCCTGCAATAGCCTTTGTCATGGCCTGTGTCCTGAGGTTATCTTTCGTTCCCTTTATTGGTTGGTATTGGCTACAAAGAGACTATTTATATTTGGGTGCGGTTGGTATAGAGCCTAGGCTCTAAACCATCAATTGGAGCCTACCTTCAAATAGCGTTGAGAAATGTGGTTTCACTATTGAAAATCTTTGTGATAGCCTTAAAATATATATTCATCTTTATCTATAAATTTTAGAGCTTCGAAAATAGTGTCAATCGATAGATCTATGAAAATTGATGGTCAAAATATGCACATTACAAAATACCCTATTTTCAAAACTTGAAATCTATTTTTTTTTCATGTCTATGCATTTTGATGTCGAGATGATCAATTTGAAGATGTTTGAGCACGAAAACAACCTCTTCTAGTGAAATTTTTGAGGTAGGCTCAAATTTGATTGTTTAGAGCTTCAGCTCTATATAAACTTTCTCCATTATCTTTTGTACATGGAGGTTAAAGTCATTCATTTCGTAAGAGTGTCATTGAATACACACAAAGTTTCAAAAGAAATTTTTGGATTTGTGACTCACCCCAAGCCATCCAATTTGACATCAAATGAGTGAGAATGATTGTGACCTCCATACACAAAAAGATAAATGGTCTATTTGTAGACAATCTCTTATTAGTTTTTTTTTTTTATCATTGCATAATAAACAATAATTAGGTGCCGATTGGCATTCCAGTTCCTGAATTGGCTTATCAAATCTGGGTGAGCTGGCCTAATTGGTGAAATAAAGAAAAATTAAATTTTTTTTTGCAGGGACACAGGATTAGTTCTAAGTACAAGTCTAACTATTCCCCAGTTCAGGATCATCTAGAACTAGAACCCGCCTTAGCTGACTAAGGCAATTTCAAGTCGGTTCGCTAATTTTCAATCAATGACTCAACAGTTTCCATTTCTACTTTGCTTTTCAGATTGGAGAACATGAATATCAAGAGCCCAAGGGGCCAGGTGAAGGTCATTGGCACCATTTTATGCGTAGGAGGTGCTATGATCATGACAGTCGTCAAGGGTCCGACCTTTGAATTCTTACATCACCTTAGGACATCAAAATCTCTTTCTGATATTTTGGGTGCAAAATCACTGGTTGTTACAAGTGGAAACTTGATCTTGGGCCTAATTTTGCTCATAATAAGTGATATTGCTTATTCTGCATGGATAAGTTACCAGGTACCCAATACTCATAATAAGTGTTTCTGCCTATTTTGGTCAGTATTTATAAACAATGAACCAGGAAATGCTAGGGCTTAGTGACTCTGATGAGTCTCAAGTCGGCCATGGCAAAATTATACTTTTTGACTGGTCCGGTGCCCGTTTGGAGTAACTCATGGGAGTCTGATTCAGACTCCCCAAGTCTTTAAACACTACACCACACTTTTATTTAAAGCTTTTAGTAATGCAAATCTTCCTCCATATTTTCTCTTCTCATTCAATTTCTCTCATTCTATACTTTTTATAGGCTTGGGTTTTCAAGAATTACCCTGCTCAACTCTTATTGACTGCACTCATGTTGCTCATGGCTACGGTTCAGTGCGGTGTGGTTGCTGTTTGCTTCGAAAGATCTACAACAGCTTGGAGACTAGCTTGGAATTACAGACTTCTAACATATATCTACAGCGTAAAAATTTGATATTTGGATTAATCACATTTATATTCATTTAGTCTTCTTCCCTTTTGCCTTCCCTTGTTTCTCCCATTCTTGGTGCTAGCTCTTTTGGTTAAATTCCATGTTGCTTATGTTATGGATGCCTACGTACTAAAACTCTAATCAAAGTGGGGGTCATAATTGTGACCTTCCATGACTTTAAATTGCATTGTGATTTGGTCATTTCCAATTTTTTTGCCTTTTGTACTTCATTTTCATGTTTAGTCATCTTCTTATTAGACTTCATTTAGTGAACGTATAACGAATCCATTTGGACTCGACCTATTTAAGGCCCAAGTTTTCCAACACGCTGAAAACACAGTCAAAGTGGGGATCTAATTCTGACTTTCCATAACTTTAGAAAGCAGAAAATGATGCTTTGGTCATTTCCAAATTTTATTTCCATTTTTAGTTTTATATTTTTAGAAGCAGATCAAAATCAGCGCTAGCTGTTATAGGCTAAATTGGGCAACTAAGGGTATGTCACTGACTGTGTTTAAGGTTCGAGAGTATTCGTCACAAACTTTATTTGGAGAAATGACAAAATAAAACTATCATTTCCACACAAAGTTCAAGAGAAATATTCCCAAACATTGACACCATTGACTATCACCAAAGATAAAGGTCATAGAATATTCAATCCCATGTTTAATTTATTTTTTCACTTCAAGGATGGTTTTTGTCATCTTTGAAAGTGTAGTCATTTGATTTTCTTTCTCTAATCCTAATTTAGTATGAATCTTAGTTACTGACAGTTCAAGACTACAGGGTGTTTTTTGCTCGGCTATAGGTTTTTTTATTCAAAGCTGGTGTATCAACAAGAGAGGCCCCATCTTTGCAGCTGCTTTCTACCCTTTAAGCTCAGTTATAACTGCAATTTTGGAGCCAATCTTTCTCCATGTTGATCTCCATGTTGGGAGGTAATCATTACAATGAGCAATTTATCATGTTTTCAATTTCTTTCTTTTGTATTTTTTTTTGGTAATAGTAGAATACCAAGTCTTCTCATCATTCACCTATGAATCTTTAGGATGTGTGTCGATGCAGACATAAATTTATGTGTTGAAAGGCATCTGGTCATTTGATATTAAATGGAAGGCCAAGAGTGAACAATTTAAAGAATACAGCTACGCTAGCATGTGCCCTTGTTCTCAACCAACTCCTAGCCATATTTCTCAATCCACTCCTATCCATCGAACTAAGATCGTATTGCTATGGGCTTCAAAACACATATAAATTATATGTGAGTTGACATAAAATTTCCCCCTTCTGAAACCGTTTGAAAGAGTTTTGTTGCCCATTTCCAACTTAGAGGTTGAGTAACCCTACATATTTTGTCTTGTGCAGTGCTGTAGGAATGATTGTGATAATTGTTGGGCTCTATGTTGTTCTCTGGGGAAAAGCCAAAGATTTGAAGGGCAACACCAATTTATTACCCACACAAATGGGAGATGGAGTGGAAAGACAAGAGCAAGCAGTGGAGATGCCCAAAGTAAAGAACCAAAATGAAGAACTAAATTGCTAGGCGATGCTATAGTGGGTGACCAAAAAAAAAAATTGCCTTAAGAAACACATGCATAGGACAAAATAAGAAAACCCATGGCAGAGACAATTACACATCATGGGCCAAATAAATTATTTATCTCTAAGATGTAGATGGCCCTTGTATTTGAACAATAAAAATGTCATCAAGTTTAAATGTTGTTGTAATTAAGTAATCTCGCAAAATGTAGCAGAAAGGCTGAAATGCTCAAAGAAATTGAGAACTATTTTTCCCATTTTTCTTGGAGAAAAATATGTATTATTGAATAGAACTCCGGCTCCTGATCCCTTTTCTTGGGACACCCCATTAAAGAACACTTTCTCCACTCGTCTCCCATGACATGTAACACTTCTTCATCTAACATATCTTCACTTAATGGAGACCCTTCTTGCAGAGGATGAGCAGCTAGAAAATCAACAAGCGCTTGCCATTTCATGGCTTTTTATGGAACAAAAGTAATCTCCATAAGCAGTAATGCCCAGTTGGCCAGCTGACCTAAGAGGGTAGGTCGTGTCATTAGATACTTGATCAGGTCAGGTCGTGAGATAAGTTGTATGGGATACACACTTTTACTTTTGCAAAGCAAATACCAAAGCCAACTTTACTTTTGCAAAGCAAATACCAAAGCCAAACATATTTTGTCAATGGTAGTCTAATTATGTTCTGCTCCCATCATCGTGAGGCTGAGATAGTATAAGACTACTTCTTTTCTCTCGTCGTTTGTTGTGCGAGGATAGCTCCTAATGACTCTTCCAGGGAAGTCACATAAAGTGTCTAGGGCTTTCCTAGAACTAGGGTTGTGAGAATTGGTGGATTTAGTAGATAGTCATTCATTCCTTGGAATGCTCTTTGACATATAAGCCTAGAGAATGGCTTATATCTTCTTGACAAGTTTGGGTGGCATATCTTGGATGGCCTTGATTTTTACAAGGTCGATCTTGATCCCCCGGTGTCCCACGATGAAACCTAAGAATTCGTCGGATTTAATCGCAAACACACATTTAAGTGGGTTCATTTTAAGCTGGTGTCTTTGTAATTTTTCAAAGACCACGCCAATGTCATGGATATGGGTGGAGCAATATTTGGACTTGACAACCATATCGTCCACATATCATTTAATGATATCATGGAATATGTCCTCAAAGATAACTGTTATCGCATGTTGGTAGGTAGCCTGACATTTTCGAGACCGAACGACATAAACTTATAATAATATATTTTGGTTATGGTATGAAATGCAATTAACTTCTCACCCTTATGGGCCATTCTAATTTGATCGTATCTCGAGTAGCCATCCATGAATGAGAAAGCCTCCCCTGACACTTTAGAGTCAATCATCAATTTGGTGATTGAAATAGGAAAATCATCATTCGAGCAAGCTGTATTTAGATTATGAAAATCTACGTAGACGTGTATCAGCCCATTCTTTTTCTTGACATGCACTATATTTGCCAACCATTAAGGGTATTGAACTTCTTTGATAAAACGGCTCTGACGAGTTTATTCACCTTAGCTTCTATCTGAGTTATTATCTCTGGATGGAACTTGTGAGGAGATTGTTTAACCGAATTTATGGTGTGATCACCAACCAATTTATGTGTATTAACATTAGGGATAAACCTGGGCATCTTGTTGTAGTTCCATGCAAACGCACTACGATTTGTCTTCAAGAAGTCAATATATTGATCATTCTCTTCTTGGCTTAAAGCAGCACTTAAGAAGGTGGGTCTAGGATCACACTCTTCTCCTAAGTCGATTTTAAGGAGATCGTTGACAATAGCCTGACCACCATCCTCTATCTGTTTAAGAGCTTCTTCTGCCTAGATGAATTCTAGCGATTCTATTATACAATTAGCTATCACGACACTAGTATCTTATATTCGCCTTTGCCTTTTGGGTTTTAATTGGATGACCACAGGCATAGGGTATACCAACCCTTTAGCTTTAGACGATTTTCAAGAAACCTGTTCTGCAGTTTGAGAGAGGTGACCAATCCTTTATCGTTATCAAGACCTTGTTCAGAGGTTGGTTCATAGCCCATTTGACGCATAATGTTATGTACTTGAGGGCCTTATACATGCTATTAGGGCTTAGAGGAGCCATCATTTAAGGGTGCGCGTTTATCAGCTTTCCTCTTTTGAAGGGTTATGATCAGCTATGGTACAACTTCATTTACGTTGATTGTGTTTGGCTTCTACCTTCATCAAATAAATAAAGTTAATAGCTTGGGTTTATTTTCAATGTCAATGCCACTAAACACACCTCGTCTAGTTTCTCCCATTACTATCTTCCCTTTAACTCTGATCGATGTGGTGGAAATTTCTTTTTGGACTTGCATTGCTTCTATTATATATTATCTTGTATCTACATAAGGGATTTCAGTCTTCCCTACTTAGTATTTTGACAAGTCATGGACTAGCGACTTATGATAAGGAAAATATCCCTCTTCTTCGACACTACGTGTCATTAGAGGTCGACCATGCCATAGTGGCACAATCAAGTCCATTTTGCTAACTTCCTTGTATATGTGTAATACATCAATGCTTGTGAGTGCAGATATCATCTTGTATATTGATCCACAAGAGGTAGGATCATCATTTGCCATAATCACTGGGTTGGCAATTGCTATGGTACGGTTGAATTGTTCTTTGAGTTTCAATTTCCCCTTTTAGATCAAATATTCTATCGTATCCTAGATTAGAAAACAATCTTCCACTACATGACCTAACATTTTGCAAAAGATTCAATAATTATGCTGCTCTTCATGCCCCACTTAATCTAGTTATTTGGGTGGTGGGACCTCTATCATACTCGAGGCATGCATTTTCTCTAGAATTTTAGGGACATCATCCTTGTTGAAGGAGTATTCTTTGTTGAGCTTTTCTTTCAGTATGTGCCTCATCAGTTTCCGTATGCCTTATCTCCTTGAGGGGCGGCTGGTCGCTCCAAAAATGTGGTGTTTATATGAAAAATGTTTTTAAGAGAACATTATGACTCCACATTAATTGAATAACTAGATGGAAAACACAATCGGGGCCATATTCACCCTAATGCTTCGCATTATAGGAACAAAGGGTTTTACAAATATATACTAGGTACTGAGGAATTCTAGAGACTTAAATCTTTATTACCGTTTACATCGACCTAAAATACTAGGCCGACTACCCTTAATTCAAGCCTTGAAGTATATATATATGACTTTAGAAAGACAAATATGCAAACAGATGGAAAGAAAACATCAGTACCATGGGCATTATTGACCCGTATACCTGACTATTTGAGAGGGTATTATCTGAGGCTTGCTCCTTCTTCAAATTGGGGCTTCAAGTGAGTCTAGATTAATAACCTTCTTTCTCTCGATCAGTTTTCCACACTTCATATAAGAAAAAAACAATATCAATGGGTTGCTCCTTAATTGACAGTTGTTGTAGGAGCTCATGCAAGAACTTTTATTCCATTTCGCCTCTCCACGAAACATATCTACTCTAATTTGCATCAATGAGGAACTATAGCAAATTCGAAAGAATTTCCATGGTGGCTTTGGGTGACTCGTGGTGGAAATCTGCTTGGTTTTGTGACCGGCCCTACAAAGGTCTGGCCTATGCTGCGAGCATAATCTACTATTGCGTCTTTGCCCCCCAAAATATCTCAAGCAATACATGTATAGGAGTCGTGCAAGGGCCGCCTGTATCCTTTGGAAAAGTATTTCTTTTCGTAGTCCTAGGGAGGGGGAGTTCAATCAGAGGAATAAAGTGATTAAGCTTAAGCTTACAACAAGAACTTGAATAACACCAGACTATCTCGATAGATACAATCACTCTTATTTCTCTCTTTCTCTCTCTCATGCATGAAGATGACAGAAGCGGAGCGTTTCCTCCTTTGATTGAGCAAATCGAACCCCTTTCTTACTAAAAAGTGGGGTCTATATAAGTATCACAAGCTGATAATCATAAATTGTCGTGATCCTCACCCAAACCATTGACCATTTGTCTTATCTTCTACGATTTAGTTTAAGATGATAAGCATGTGTTTTGTTCGAATTTGAATGCACTTGTAGGTGGCTCTAATGATAACCATATCCTTCACCAGTTTTTATCTTATATGATATTTGAATTTAAATGCGTGGCTTACCAAGATTTACCATAATATTGCATGAGAAATTTAAGGAATTCGGTTATTCTTATTTGCCATTAGTTAGTTTGCTGTAACTCAATATTAACATATATTTGTATTTCGTATGCGGCTTCCTAATGATGTATCCATTGTCCATGAATTATAGAGAGATAATGTAGAACTCAAAGATGATCATAATGGTCCAAGCCCCACTTCAAATAGATTATGGATGAGAGAGATCTGATTTGTTGAAGTAGACCCTTTTATATTGGAATTACAGTAGCAAAATAAGGGACAACTACTTCTACCACAAGGGACTATAGACCCTGGGGACATGACAATCTTGTGAAGGGGACTACAATACAGATTTTCACAAAATTGGGGTTCAAGATTCTCCATATATTGAGGGATATTATTCATCATCGGTTAAGCTTTTAACATAGAGTTTTTTACGACTATTGTAGGACTTGCTACTTTCTCCTAAGAGAATGATATGATGTTGCACTCTTAAGAGTATTAGGAGCCAAGAGTCCAATGGTCTAGGTCCTATGAGAAAATTCGCTGTAGATAGAGAGAAATCTCAATTTTGGTGACTGGGGGTCATCCTGGCTATTTTGTGACAAATGGTGTATAAAACCTTAGTAGTTGATGAATATAGATGAGGTTTTAATCCAACTATGAATGATGTAAAACCTTCATGTGAGGGATATAATGCCTCAAAATGAATTCCCAAAGGTTTCATACCAATCCCAAATATCACATTTAGGGGCATCGGTCAAAGGCATATCTTGACCAATTAATACAGATGATGAGTTAAGCCAACTCCGAATGTTGTCCAACTTGTATAATTCTTCGAATAGAGGCATTTGAGGCCTCATGAAACCTATATGCAAAGATACGCATCATTGTGATATCATATGGTGAGGTTTTTGTTATGCTCTATCTATCAAACACTTTTTCCTTGGAAAACGACATATTCAAAAGTCATATTGTTGGTGCTTTTTAGAAAAAGAGAAGAAAAACATGTGGCACACCGCCTAGGGTTCGTGTGCGTGTACGCATGAGGATGACCTTGAAGCCCATTAGGATAAAGGTTGGGCGGTGCGGTGTGTGCGGTTCAAACTAACAAAAGAAAGATGTGTGAGGTAATGCTTACCTCACATGGTGGGGTTAGACAGGCCCAGGTGTG